AAGAGAAAGAATACTTTTATGTGGCTTAACATTTTAATTTTGGCTTTTGTGAATGCAATTGTGAAACAATGTCAGGTTTATACTATTATTTTTAATCTTTCCTAATAGGGTTCTTTTGTATTTTGATATATTTAGGAACATTCAACAAAAATCTTTGCTGCCTTAAAGGTTTGCAGTCTAGACCTCCCTCTAAAAAATGAGATGGAGGAGGTAAAAAATCATAAAACAAGTAAAATACATTATTTTCTGCCATCAGTAAGAGACCCTTGCACTAAGAAATTTCTGCAGTTATTAAACAAACTCTATCATAATCCCATTTTATTATTAGAGTAGCTATAAGCCCAAAATATTTTTGAAGAAATATAGGCAGAACTATATCCCCTTAAGTTATATATATATAAAGGGGATAATCAATTTAAGGCAAGGTTCAATTCCCTGGAGGTCTTCTATACTAAACAAAACTAAAACATATAAAAAAGGCTTAGCAAAGCTTGAAAACATCACTCAAATTCTGGCATTTCTTAAAGTTTAAGGCACCAGACCTATGTTTGGTATTGTAAACCATTTTCATTTACAAGAATACATAAAGCTTTTACGAACAAGAGATAAACGACAGGTCTCATGTAAGTCATTGCCCAAGTTTTCATCCACTTGAATAGGCATAGGTTTTTTACTCCAGTTTCACTAGAGATCACTGGCACTGATCAGAAAAATTCTGATGGAGCTCAATTGTGTCATAATATGTGACTGTTGCAACACACATTCTTTTTAAACACACAAAATATTTTAAAACCCTATCTGATTTCTCCTGAATTAATTTAGGAAAATAACCAGAAAAAAATCCCAAAACTTTAAAAAAGTTTTATTTTGATTTCTTCTTTTAATCCCCACCCCACCCTCAGTATTTCACTTTGAAATGAGCAGGCAAGGTTCTTTGCGTAGATGTGATATCTTTTATTAGACCAACTGAGTAGTTGGGGAAAAAAGTTCTTAGCAAGCTTTGGGGCGCAATCGCCTTTCTTCTGGCACTGTTGAGGTTAGCTTCTTTTTTCTTCATGTTGTGAAGTTTCCATGCCAAACAGAAAACATTGATATCTTTCTGTCTGGAATGGAAACTTCCCAACATGAAGAAAAAAGAAGCTAACCTCAACAGCGCCTGAAGAAAGGTGATTGCACCTGAGAGCTTGCTAAGAACTTTTTTCCAACTACTCAGTTGGTCTAAAAGATATTACATTACTTAAAATACTTTGCCTGCCTATGTCCTGAGATTATGGCTATAACCAAAAACCCAGCAACTTTGAAATGACATTTTCTTTCAATTTTTTTCACATTTTGAATTATAAAAAGTTTAAATCAAAGCAAAGTACTGTATTTTCTCGCATATAACATGCCCCCAGGTAAAATAGAAACCTTGTTTTTGGAAGGGTAAATGTAGGGAACAATGATATTTTCTGTCATGACTAATTGTGGACATAGAAAAAGTCCTCTTGGGAAAATAGAAAGTCCAGGAAGTGTTGCAGCAGGGGGTTGCCAGTTGCTGCACTGAGGCCGTCTCCTGGGATGCCATACTTCATGGACATTTTCCAGGAGGATTTTGTCACACAAAGTTAGGCTCCAGAGCAAGAGCAGTGGCAAAACTGTTGGTTCTTTACTGAAAGTAGCTTTTTATGTACCCCTATAAATACAGTGTTGTTTCTACATTACACGCCTCATCAAAACACTACCAGAAGTTCACTTTCTGCTTCAGGCACAAGCTATAGTGCTCAACTGACACAGGACTCAGCCATCGTGGCTGGCAGCTGCATGGCTTTCACAGTGTCTCCAGGCTTCCTTCTTTTCCAGTGAAAAAAATTGCTTCCCTACTTAAATTATGCATACAATTCTGGGGGGCTGATGTTGGGAGGAAATACAACACCCTGATAACCCCCTTCCCCCCTCAAATAAGAATTGTTCTGGCATTTTCTTTTGCGGCTTGGGGAATTAGTAATACGTTATTGACGTATCCATCCCTAAGAAAGCTAATTGAATACTGTGGCTTTTTTTCCTCCTCTCTGAACATTCATAACAGAACCTGATTTTCTCTCATTTATTTATTAGACACATGTTTAGATTTTATTTTATACATCAAAAGGAAACACCTTATTATATTCTGATATTCATAATCCAAGCACCTTTCCTTACTTGTACCAAATGAAAAGCAAAGTACTGTCTCTGTTGCTGAACTGGATGACATAATTCACCAGAAAAGGATTTGAAAAAGGCTTATAATCTCTAATGGACAAGAAGTAGTTTAGCAAGAGAAGAAATGAGAATGACAGAAAAACTCTATACCCCCTACATAAACTACTGCTGCCCTCCTCAAGGAGAGAGATGTGCAGCCGGAGATAGGAGTTGATCAGGGACTCCATTAGAGGAATCACCTCCACATAGGTGACCCAGACCCGCCCCCTATACAAACCACACTCTCCAAAAGCTCTTTCCTTGTCTGGGCCACATATCACTTTTAAAAATAATAGGGTACTGTATGCCTGACTGAAATGGTATATGGTTACAATTTTATATTAATGGATTAAGATTGTCCTGCAGCACTTTCAGACACAGCATTTGAACAAACATGGTCCTTATTATGAAAGGTGTATTGGTTCATTTAATTGCCTCTTGCTCACAGCCCTGAAAAGATTGTCCTCTGTTAGTTAAGCAGTGTCTCAGGAGGTGCAGTAGATTAAACAATCTGTAATTACCACAGAGGCCATGCTAGTTTGAGCAGATAGTGCAGGGTAGTACCTTAGAGACTAGCTGGTTCAGAGAGACATGAATTTTCACAGACAATAACATACTTTGTCAGATGCTGTGAATGGCCTCCAGACAGGCTGTTGCCTATAAAAAGGCATGCCTCTCTCAATCAGTCTCTAAGATGCCATCCTGCCCTGCCTTCAATTACCACAGTGATTGATCTCATGTTTGACTGGAGTGGCATAGGACTCCCACATCCTGCATTTGTATATGGGGTTAGGCTAGATCAGATTTGGCTGTCCAAATGGCAGGCTGCATGTGGCCCCCAAGGGGTTACCTTGCTGTCCCAGGGCTCCTAGACTGGTTGCCATTCCCTCTCATCACTTTCCTGTTGCTGCCATTCAGGGCTCCCCGTCCCTCCTACAGCATCTACTTCCTGCCCGGCCCCCTGGGGCAAGCTGGAATGTTATAACCAGGGATCCTAGTTTTCTTTGCTAAAAAAAATCCCCAATTTTTGGTTTAATAAAAGAAACCCAAAATCCACATTTTTCCATGATCGAAATGAAACACCATTCACACATATATACACACACACACACACACACACACACACACACACACACACACACTGTTTGTCCTTTGCAAGGGAAGATGACCACATTCGGGGGGGAGGGAGGGGGGAAGAAGAGAAAAGGAAGTGGGAAAGAAAAAGGAATGGAGAAAAGAGAAAGGGAGAAAGTGAGGAAAAAGAAGAGAGAGGAAAGAGAAAGGAGGGGTGTGGAGGCTAGGCTGTGTGGGTACGCAGATAATTTATAAGCCCAATCTGTGCCCTGAACAATCTGCTGCAGCAGGGCCAGGAGAGTGACGAGGACTGGACACAAGAGGTCCTCGTTTTCCTGGCCACGTGCTTCCTCACTTCCTCTGCCATGCACCACTGCTCGTAGGCCAGTGCTTCGCTCTGGACCGATGACCTCCAGGATGGATGGTCATGAGCGATTTGTTCCCATGACTCCAGGTTGATTCTGAAACTCTTTAGGGATATCTTTAGGGTGTCCTTGTACTGTTTCTTTGGTGCGCCACAAAAGTGTACTCCATTTGACAGTTCATCATAGAAGATTTTCTTCAGCAAGCAAGTGTCAGGCATTCTTGAAAGATGGCTGGCCCATCTTAGCTGCGCCAGTTTCAGTAGGGTGTGGATACGGAGGAGAGCAAATCTTCTGAGCACCTCAGTGTCTGGAATCTTGTCCTGCCACTTGATCTTTAGTATCTTTTGCAAGCAGCACGGGTGGAAGTGGTTTAGTTTCTTGGCATGACACTGGTAGACAGTCCAGGTTTTGCAGGCATAAAGGAGGGTCTGGAGAATGATGGCTTTATAAACCTTCAGTTTCGTTGACACTCCGAGGCCTCTGCCTCTGACATTTTGACTGACTTACAGAGTCCGCCGAAGGCCACGCTGGCTTTTGCTAGCCTCACATTGACTTCATCATCGATGCGGACAGCACGGGAGAGTGTGCTGTCTAGGTAGGCAAACTTGTTGACTTCAGTTAAAGGCCAACAATTGGCAGTGATGTGTGATTCCTGAGGTGTTGTGCCAGGCACAGGTTGAAACATCACTTTGGTCTTCTTTGTGATGATAGTGAGTCTGAAGTTGTCCCAGGGTGATGAGAATAGGTCCATAGACTGTTGCGTGTCAGCTTGCGCATAACACACAGTCAAAGAGGAAGTCACAAAGGGTGGCTCTCTGGACTTTGGAACTCACTCAGAGCCTGCACAGGGTGAAGATTTATCTCTCTATATATTAATGGTGTTTCATTTTGATCACAGAAAAAATGTGGATTTTGGGTTACTTTTTTTAAACCAAAAATTGGGAATTTTTTTTTTAAATCAGAGAAAAGCAGGATCCCTGGTTATGACTTCTAGGGCCCTGGGGATCTGTATGGAGGAGGTCTGGGACTCTGTATAGTGCAGTGTAGTGCAGTGAGGGGGGTGGGGGCATGTTATGTGGTGCAGCACAGTGGAGAGGCCTATGTTCCACAACCAGGGGGCACTCACAAATTGGATAGCCCTGGACCAGATGGCTCATGAGGTCCCTCCAAGCCTATGATTCTGTTACTCTAAAGTAATTCCATGCACAGGGTGTAATAAGGTCCTTTCACTGATTATTTCATTACCCCTGCCAAAATTCTGGTGAGAAGACTGAGAAATTCTGCCTCACCACTGTCTCATGCCACATCCTAGCGTATATAAAATATACCATTGACAGTGAAAATATATGCAGACTTCTCACTTAAAATTCACTGTGTTAGTATTCATGCAAATAAAATGTATTCAGTTGAATGTTCAGAGGAAATAAATTCTAAAACACTGCTAACAGGACCAAAGTAAACTGAAGTTTCCAATTTGAACTTGAGTCAATATTTGCTCCCTGCTTCTCCCCCTTATGCCCATTTGGCAGTAGTAAACCAGCTTTGACCTACCATTCATTTAAAATCTGGCACATGTGAATACCAGCAATGACCAAAAGAACAATAACCACTATAAAATGTGTGAGCAGTCTTCTCCTAGTCCAGAAGCACTGAATGTCAAATACTTACTTCTCTGCTGTTACTGAGAAAGCCTTACACTAGAAAATGCCTTCAGTTAATAAGCAGATATCATAACATTTCATTATCTAAGAAAACTACTACTCCAAAATCCTCTTCTTTGAATCTAGGCTGAATTATATCACTTTACTAATCCATCATTTCAGTCACTGTACAACACTTTGAAGAGCTGTTATTCTAACTCATATCAATAACGTTTAACAAAAGTTGAAAATGTCATTTGTTTCAAATTTGTGGTGCTATGAGTCATTCTCATTGAGAAGAAATTACATTTTTATGTTTACTTTGAAAATACCTCTTAAAAACAGAACTCCTTAAAGGTGTATCTATCCATATTTGTTATAATCTAAAATGACAGAGTCAAAATTCTGCTTCATAATAGTGAACATTATTTTGTAAACTTTTTGTTCCAAGATATCATTAGCAACAGTCTAAGCTTTCATTTATGTATTACTATGATTGGTAAACATTGAATACTTATTGATATTTATTATTTCTATAGTGGTAGCATCTACATACCCCAGCCTATCTAAACCCAGGTGCCAATGTCTATTGTACTTGCTTCTGAATATATATGCAATAAGGAAGTCAGCCTCTGATCCAAAGTACTTGCAATCTAAATATAGATGAAAGGGGTATAATAAATCACCAGCACCACTTCTATCGAACACCTACTTGCTAGATTATCTTTGAAATTTTGCTGTCCAAAAACTGGTCTGTCTAATAGGATCCCAACACAAAGGGGCCTGGGTCACAGGCTCATGTCAGACTAAAGGTTGACATGTCTATGATAGTCACATAAATGACTACTCTAAAGACCAGGAGTCAGAAATTTGCTCTCAAACCTGGTATTTGTGCATCAGTCGAGTCACTGAACCAACCCCAGGAGAGAAATTTTATTAACGTTAGATAAACCCTTTAAATGTTGCTTTCGTTTAGATGCAAAAACTCATAATTAAGCATTTCATTTCAGACCTCAAAAAGTGTAGTAATTTTAATGACTGTATTATATTTGTAATACCCTATAGTCCCTTTCTTCAGCTCCCTTATTTTTTCTTTTGTTTGGTTGCCATACCCACCAACCTCTCATTCTTAAAGAGCTATTAAGACTTATAATATAAAAATCATACATCTGAACATTTTATTATTCACCTTCTCCTCATCACCACTTTTTCTGTTTTAGTATGGCAAATTACTTAAAATGCCAGTAGAACTGTCACAGGAGGTTTACAATCTAATTATTATTCATCTGTACCTTCAAAGAAGTGCACAGATGCATTCTGGACAACATCATCACTGAGAAATGTCCAATCAAAATTAGTCACCTGTTACTAATGAGTGTAATCCAATGATGAGATTCAATCTATCATGAATATGAAAATATGATGACCCACAGATGAATGTTCATTACAAATATCTACCATATGATAATCAATGACATTTCATATTAAAGTTACTAATGAATCTGTAGCAGAGAGCACATCAAATATCTCTGCTTCTATGATCTGAAATAAATATAAATACAAAAAAGTTAATTTTAATTTTGATAAACATTTTCAAACAGAATTGTATTGTCCAATGAGCCACACATTTCAAATGAGCATTCCAAATTTGTTTACACAAATTGATGCAAGAATACTATTTTTCCTTATTACTGTAAGAAATTAAGTTTTCGTCAAACCAAATTAAAATTAATACTTCTTGAACAACCCAGAGATAGCATTTGAATGAAAATATCCATGCTTAAAAAATAGTCCATGCCAGAAAGAACATGAAGTTTCATTTTTCTATGTTTTGGGCACAGATATAAATTGAAGACAATTTTAACAGTCTTTTCTTGTTAGTTAACCACAAAAATAATCTGTGTAAGGTATACTTTAATGTTTCCAGGAGTTAAATCAGAACAAAATTTAAAACAGAAAAGCACTTGCATAAAAATGTCCATGCTCCAACATTTTTCATGTATTGGCTACATACAAAACCTTTCAATTCCTTTTAATGTCAAAGAGCATTTGAAAATTAATAAGAGACGGTGAAAGATGGATAATAGACATCATCATGTTTTGCAAATCATATAGCAAAATCTGACTCCCTGTGCAATGTGGCATCATTTTGCCTTACATTGAGTATTGTCAGTATTGTCACATTCCTCAAGTAATGCATTAACACTAATGCAATGTTTGTGGAGCAAAGTAATAGTGAGCATATACAGAGCAGGAACTTGCCCTATCAAAAACAAAAAAAGAACCCATGAAAGGTATTTCCATGAAGGTTGGGAAAATGAGAGCATTTGTCTAGATGGCAGAGCATACACTCCCCTACCTGATTATGCCTACATTGCACTTATTTGGACATGCAACAATAAATCCCGGCACTAGGGATGCACCAATACAGATTTTTTGGGCCAATACCAATGGCCGATTTTTAAGGAACCAAATTGTCTGATACCGATACACTTCCAAAATACAGCTGGACAGCTTGGAGATCAGTGTCAGACTGGCAAGTCTGTTGTGGGGGAAGGGGCAGGGGAAAGAAAAGGGCGTGGGGGGAAAGATCGAAGCCCCAGCAGCGAGGGAGGAAGTGGGGCAGGAGCAGGCACTGCACAACCAGGGTGGGGTTCAGGATGAAGCCGTGAGCAGCTCGTTTGGGGGGCGCTGGGCTCTGGGAAGTGGGCTATGGGGGGGCTGCAGCCACCCCAAAATTTGCTGTAGCCCATATCACAGCACCGCTGCCACCTGCCCTAAGCACAGCCTGGCCCAGCCCCTGCCGGGAAGAGCTTGGCACAACCCTGGCCCCAGCTCACAATGGCAGCCTGCCCAGCACTCAGATCTGGGAGCACACACCCCCATGCCCTCCTGGGGTGTTTGCAGTGGTGGGAGCTGCCCCGCCCCCCCCACTGCACCCCCTCAGGCAAGCCACTTGCAGCTCCATCCCACGCCCCGCCCCGGCTGAGCAATGCCTGCCCCAGCCCCACTCCCTTCCTCACTGCAGGGACCTTGATCTACCCCCCACATACACCTCTTCCCTCCCCCCATACATCCCCCCATGACAGACTTACCAGCCAGATGATGCTCTCCAAGCTGCTGGGCTGTGCTCCTGGCTGCATGCATGCTGCGGCTATGCACATGCACAGGGCATTTATCAACCATATTATCAGCCACATCAGGCAAAAAATGCCAATTGCCAATACCGTCAATTTTTCTTATATTGGTGCTGATCCGATATGGGATCAATGTATTGGTGCACCTCTACCTGACATCCTTACCAACACCATCCCACAGGGTGCTGTGGATGGATGAAGAAGACGAGGAAGACCTAGGGCAAGCTGGACCACCAACATCAAAGACTGGATGGGATTAAAACTGACTGATTATACAAGTATTGTAAAAGACTGGGAAGAATGGAGGAAAGTTATTGCTACCTCAAAAGGGAGGCCTCGGGACTGAGTTGACTTGTCATGGACAAGTTGGGAATAGATACACATTTCCCTCATTTTCTACATTGATTCTCCCTTTACAGAGCCATGATAACTGCCAGCACTGAACGGCACTACAATCAGAGCACATGGTAGTAAGATGAACTATGAGGGGTTTGCCTCATATTGGGCCTTTCATGCCCATAGGGAATAGAGAGTTTTGCCCTTCAGTAGGAAAGATTCAGCAGGGTAACTTTCCAATTATTTTGTTTCTAAGTGTTAGCAATGGTGGGCCTAAATGGCTCAGCTAATTGCTAATGGGATATAGGACCTTTCTATTTAGATCTTCAGTTTGAATCTAGCTCAGGGTTGTTAGGGAATGAATGTTATTACCATCCAAAGATTTTCTAATCTTCTACGTTAAATTAGTTGGTAATCTTAATCCATTGCTTAATAGGCAATGTTTCCATATAATCAAACACTCATCACACATGACACTCACTTGGTGGTTGCAGCACCCGGATTTTGAATGGGCAATGGATCATGAACTACCTTCCAATAAAGTAGACAGCTTGTCATCACAGTCAGCTTCCAGATTCGCTGAGCTACTTAAAATCTACAGACAGATTCTGTTATATATTGAATAAAAGAGTGACAGTGAATGCTTTGTGAGTAG